GTTGATATAGTTGTGTTTTCAATCACAGATTAAAGGTCTTGCTTGCAGCAGGTGTATCTTTACAGTCAGGAGTGTAATTATGTCCAGTTCATGGAAGAGGAGGGGAAAAGTGTATCTGGATATATTGAAGTCGTCTTTTGCATCCTCAATGCTATTTTTTCCAATCTCTTAATTTCATCCAGTTACTTAACTGTTTGGATTTTCTTCATGCATTTAAATACTTATGCATATGTTTAATGTTAAGCTTGTGAATTGAGAAATCCATGAAGTCAGTGCAGCTCACTGTGTGCTTTAAGCAGCATTTTTTGTCATAAGACATAGTACCTTGTATGTTTCTTGTGTGATTCAGGAATTCAACAAAAATGGAGTGAAAACATGTACTATGACTAATCTTGAAAAATATAAAGACATCAGATTATCTAGAGAGTCAAATCTGCATAGAGATGTTAATCGATTAACTAGTTGTAAGTAAGTATTTCCAGAGACTTTTCAGTAAATTTCCCATTTCACTACCTTGGAAATTTTGGAAAATTTGATACAGCCTTTCTTCAATCTTAGTGGATAGGAAAAGTAAGCAAAGCAAAGCCAGAATTACTGGTTCTTTCCCTTCTCACTGAGTGCAAAAGAATTTTAATAGTTCATGGCACTGTTAGAGGCTGGATTTTTTAGCGATTAGAATGATGGATCATTTACATCTGGGAAAATTTTTCAAATCTAATATACACAAAACTAAGATCTTCGATTTTTTAGTGATTATTTTCATACCATTACTTCAGCGTAAGCCCTTTTAGGTTTCCATCCTGCTTTCCTTTGTTCAGTATTACTTTTGAATTTAATCAAGGTACAGCATTTAATCAGCATTAAACCTATTTAAAGATACTTAAGATGAAGAGTAAAGGTGATGTAGCACTATTTTTCAAGTAAAACTTCAAGAGGCAAACTGGAATCTGAAAAAGTTGCATTTACTTTTTCAGTGAATAATGTCATATGTTCTGTGGTAGCACAAAGCTCTTTTTGAAGTATTTTGGTTTTAGTGTTGCTTCATTTTACACATAGTGACTGATACTTTTAGAGTAACCTTTCATAAGCACCTTTGCATTTGAGAATGTTGCCAGTGGGAGAAACTTTTATAAAGTGTGGAAGACTTTACTTAATATTTTTGTCATGAAGGGAGAATGTGATTTCATGGAAACATCAATAGATGTCTTCAGGTTTAAAATATGCCTTATAGAAACAGGACTGAGTTTTTGTGTCCAAATAGTTTTTCCAGTCACTTTATTTCTAATATATTTCTAAACTATATTGTAAATTCTGCATTGTAGTGACACACCCTCTACAATTTCATGTATGATAAACGCATTTTTGAGTAACCATCATTGATTTTAAATTATAGACCATTGCCTAAACCCAAAGACTTTCATCATAGACATGTCAGCAAGCAGCAGGAGTCACGCTTATTGGTTTAGTATGCAGCATAATCCACTTCTAGAAAAAATTCTCTGGTTGTCCCAAAGGCTATACTTGTTTCAGTTCACAGAGTGTTTGGCATTGACCATATAATTCTCCTTCTCTCATTTGCTTATGTGGACAGCCTTGATTGTTTTTCAAGATTATGCGAGCAGGATATAATTGCTTTGTGCTCCTAAACTATAAAATTTATTGGCTAACACACATGAGGTGGCTGGGGATATTGCAGTATTCATCATCCTTGTGGAATGGGCAATGGGTCTTTGCTGATCTGGCAGCCAACAGTCCTGGGGGAAAGGTTCAGCCTCCACTCGTCCATAGAAGACAAGGGAATTGTCTTCTATGCTGCCAAGTTACTATCCTCCATTTACCCATTTTTCTTCCTTGAGGTTTTATACCTATTCATATCACTGCTTTTCCTTTTTAAGCCTTGAGCTGTTAAATAGTGTTATTTCAAGAATTTAAGCTGTGTCTAGAATTTAGTCTTTCCTTTTTTGCATGAATACTAGTCTGTGTATTTTCTTACAACTTTTGTTACAAGCAGCAGTTTTCTCAGAAGACTTAGACAATACTGCACAACTGTGCTGTTGTGTCATTATGCAGTGCATCACAAATAGATGAACATCCAGGAAAATGGTAATACCTACCTACATGCCCACAAATCTTCATCATGCACTCTTCCATCAGGATCTTAGATTTCACACAAACATTTTCTGGTTCAGTATGATTTGCTTTCTTACCCTACATTTTTCTGTTGCCACCTCTTACAGAAATTTATTTCCAAATTAATTTCTTACATTTCCACATTTCTTTATTTACTGTGTTTTTTCCTATATTGCTGTTTCCAGCGGATCTTCCCAAAAGCAACAGCTTTGACTGCCCAGCAGAGCCAACAGCACAGGGCCTCAGGAAAGCAGCACTGCTGCTGCCCACATGTGCTGTCCTTATCACATCTGTGGCCCACAGATCAGCTGACTGGTACTTGTTGGAGAGCAAACAAACACATCTGCCTTGCTGGAGGGCTTGGAGCCTGAATCCGACTGTGACCCTGCACAGACAGAGTAATATCTGAGGATTGGCTTGTTAGGGTTTTCCTCCTCAAGGAGGCTGAGGACACACTGTCCCTGTGTTTCACCTTGTTTGGTTGCTGTCCAGATTCTACACTGATTCCAGTTTCAGGGACTGTTGCAGTACTTGTAAGCAAGTCTGCTTCTGCCTGCTGGGGCTTCTTGCAGCTGTTACTGGTAGCAGGAGTGCATCACAGTGTGGCACTGGTGTGCCCTAGGATAGGCTGCTTAGAGGTCCACGAAACAGAAAGTTTTTTTGTACTAATTTTCCTTGGTCAGTTTCTCTTCACTTGAGAGCACTTAGACTGGAGGACCAGTCTGATCTCGTTTAAAATCCCTGAAATTTACAGTATGGATATAAGGAGCCTTATCATCAACTGCTTTGATTCATGACCTCTTTCTGTTCTGCCTCTTCACACATGACTTTCGTGTCCTGGTTTTCAGCTGGGATAGGATTAATTTTCTTCTTAGTATCTGGTACCGTGCTATGTTTTTGATTGAGTATGGGGTTGATGTTGATAACACACTGATATTTTAGTTCTATCTAAGTAGTGCTTTCCCTAAATCAAAGACTTTTCCCTGTCCCATGTTCTGCCTGCAAACAAGTGCACAGGAAGTTGGGAGCAAGCCAGGAGAGGCGACCCAAACTGGCCAAAAATATATTCCATGGCAAAGAAATATTCCATCCCATAGAACATCATCCTTGGCATATAAACTGTGGGGAATTGTCTGGGAGCTGCCAGTTGCTGCTTAGGAATGGGCTAAGCATCAGTCAGCAGGGGATGAGGAATTGTATTGTGTATCCCTCATTTCTCTTAGGTTTTATTGCACACTGTCTCCTTTCCATTACTATTATTATATTATACTTCAAAAATTAAACTGTTCTCATCTCAACCCACGAGTTCTTATGGTTTTTTTTCAAGTCTTGTCCCCATCCCTGGGGGTAGCATGGGGTAGAAGAATGGGGTTGGAAAGGAGGGTTGTGCAAATGGATGCATGATAAATAGTTGCCAGCTAAGATTAAACCATGGCAGCTTGCTGATACAAAGAATGCTTAAAATTTCTCCACTCACTTCTGAGTCTATCAGACACTGTGGACAAGGCATGCATTCTTTGAATTCATCCTTTTCTTCTTTGCCTCAACTGGAATTTCAAACTCACCCTCTTCCTTCTATCTCCAATTCAAAGATGCTTCCACTTTTTTAAAAAAGTCCAATGGCCCTAACATAAGCCCTGAATTAAAAATTGTTCACATTTTTCACTATTGGTGTATGTATTACTAACATCTCAAATAGAAGTTTAGTATTGAGATGCCCACACTAATGTTCATCACCTCGACCAATGTATGTACCCAGAACAGATTACTTCTGATTGCTTTGTGACAGTTTTGAACTGCTTTAATTCCCTTAAATTTCTGTACATAGATGTCTTTTCTATGCAAGCTAATAAAAATTATATGCATGACTTTAAATAAAATGTAGGATGAGAAGTGGGGTAATGACCTCCAATGCAACTTGTAATATGATTTTTAAAATAAATAGAGAAATATTTCCTAAGTATTTATTAATGAACTGTAATTTTTATCTGCCAAAAGAGTGATGAACAATTTATTTTTTTAAAGTGCTATTTTGTAAAAAAGGCACATTTGCAGTAGCAACAGCTAAATTGCAGAAATCAAGACTATTCTATTCAGTCCTTTCTTTTTTACTTCTATTTTCTTTTCTCATAGTACTCTCTTTGTTAACATTGATGGCATTCTTCTAGGCCTCAAGGTGTGACCTTAAAGGTCATGTATAAGACTAATAGGCTTTCTTTAATACTATCAGTCTTTTAAGGATAAGAGCCTTAATTTTAATTAATTTATGCATTTCATGAGATAAACATGCTCAAATTCCAACAAAAAAAAAAGTTAAAATTTAGAAAGTTAGTGAATAGACCTCAAAATAATGTCATTGTTTGTATCTATGGAGAGTTGATTGAAATTTCAACATGACATTATCCCCATTAATTCTGTAAGGCAGGAAATATGCAAATTGTAGATCAAAATAATGTTATTCTTTAGGACAAAACTAACTCAAACTTCAAGTTAGAATTGTATTAAATTCTAGTCACAACCTCTTTAATTACAGCAGTCCCTGTTTCCCTTTTGTGGAAGAATAATGAAAAGTGTGAATCACATTTTCCACATAATTTATTGAAATCCTTCATTAGTGAGAATTGACATTTGTATTCCATACTAAACAAGTTCTTTATGCTTGGAAAGTAGCTCTCTTAATGTGTTTAAAATTGCTAGGAGTCTATTACTATTTTGGATGAATACTGATTGCTGTGCCATTGGTATTTTCATGACCAAATCAGTTTCAAATGAGGATTATGAAGAGTGTATTAAAACAATTGCTGGAAGAGAATATGGCATTTTTTCAGTACTACTATCAATTAAAATTTACTCCTTCTATAATCCCACAGCTGAACAGACAGGAATGTTATTTATAGGAGATGCAATAATACAGGTGAGTAAACATTTGCTTTTTTCCACAGACATTTGTTTCTTACTTGCTTTTATTTCAGTAACTAACTTCGCATTACAAATCATTTTCTCCCTATTGTATCTGTTTTTAGGTTAATGGTATAAATGTAGAAAGTGCTACCCATGAAGAAGTGGTAAGTAATTCCATTTTGATTTTTTATTGGTGTACAAAATATCTTATGTCCAAACTGTTCTGTCTCTGATCTTGTTTCAAATGAATTTACTCTTTTTTACTATAAAGACAGTGCTATTTATCAGGTTTATAATTTATTTGATTATTAAAACTTTTCCAGTTATGTAATTCCATTTTGAAATCAAATTTGCCGTAATGCTTGGTCTAACCTGAAACAAAATAATTTATTGAATAGTGGTCAGGTTTTACAGATTTGCTTCATTTATCAGACTGACCATATGAGGACAAAGCCAGTTCACATTCACTTGATGTGCAGTGCTTTTCTGGTCTGCAGTGCAAGGCCTTATAGATAAAAATTGTTACCCCTGTTGCCTGTTTATTAGCAGTATCTCAGAATAGCATCTGTAGCAACCATAAATGACATGGGCTTTGGCAGTCTTATCAGCAGGGCAGAAATTACATGGGCAAAGGAACTAAACTTGCTTTTATTACTTGAAGGTGATCTCTCTAGGTCAAGATAAAGTGCAGCTGCATGATCTTGCATTCCTTTTCTTGGTGTTGATTAATACCATCAAGCTGACTCTCTTACAGACAGTCTCAGTAATAGTTAGATCTATTGTGTATTGGTGAACTGCCCTCCTGCTGCGTGTGTTATTATTGCACAGAAAAAAAATATTAAACTTCCAGAAAGCTACTCCTCAGAAAATGGTAAGCTACTACCATTAAGAATTGTTTGTAAAAACAAAGAAGTGGTCCAGAACTGTCAGTGTAACAACAGAGATGAGGAATGAGAGAGAAATGCATAGTGCTGCTCCTTTCCCTGTACATGGGAATTCAGTAGAAGCATTAAGCATTATTGCTACTACCACAGCCTGTTACTATGATGAGAATAGGGTTAGAAGAATGTGTCAGGCAGTAGAGATAAGAAATGTTTCTATCAGATGAGGTGGGCTGTTGACAAAGCTCCTCAGAGAATGTAAGATTTATTATTTCTTCTTTTATCAGAATTATGTCTTTGCATTTTTATGAAATAATGGTTGAGATAAAGTTCTCTTTATTTGAACATTGTGGGTTTGCAGTTTGAAGGAAATGCTTTAAGGAAGAAGGTATATAACATATTAAGCTTGTTACAATATATTAAGCTATTAATATAGTAATGTAGTGATTATGGGTAGTTGTCCAAAAAACAGGAGGCTAAGGATGAAGAACTCATTTCTTTTAGAAAATCAGGCCTACATCTTCTCTCTCTGTAAAGGATGCCCTAAATGTCACTCAGGTTAAATGAGAGGTGCTCCAGCCCTTCTATTCAAAACACATTCATTAGTGAGGCTTGAGTATTCTTAATCCACTCTGGGTTCAAGTTTACCCAACCTTGTTTACATAATACAGTGGAAGCCTGTCAAAAGTTATGAGTCATTCTTTTGGCTTGCTCTATATGCATCTGGCATTAAGGGGCAGAAGCAAATATGTTTCTTACTTTTTTGGTGTTGAACCATTTCTTCTGTTTTTTTCTGTTTGTCTTGTTGTGGTTTATTTTATTTTTTAAATTGTAACTCTAACAAATGCTTTCAAAAATTTTCTTTCAGTTTTTTATTTTGTTTGTTTCACAATGGCATTCCTTGCTTTTCAGACTTTTTCTCTGTTTTTTTTTTTTTTTTTTTACTTTCTGCCTGGGAGAGAAGGCTACAAAATCTGAGAACTTTAGGAAAGGAGGCCAGTGTGTTCTGCCTGCTACCTACCATCTTCCCTCCTGAGATGTGTATGGAGTTAGCCAGTCCTGATTGTACCAAATGGGGAGTTTTGTTTCTTGAGCCTTGAACTTCAGCAGTGTTAAAAGATGATTACTTCTGGGCAAGCCAAACAATTAGCTACTCAGTCAGCAACAACTGAACAACAAACTGGCTTTCCTTTTTTCGCTTCTGATACTGGAATTTGTTTTTCTCCACAATTATTCAAGCTGCTACTATCACACATTAGTTCTGGCTAAGGGTATGGATAGCATAAATAATTCAGAATCAGTGCCAAGAAAAATTCTGCTTTTGTAGTAGGTAATACAATAGTGTGGAAAATTGAAAATAATTTCTTTTCCTTGAAACTTTATTTTTAGAAATAGTCTACTGGTGTGGAGAATGCAGAAAATGTTGATTCAGAGATTAATATAGTTTCTGTATTGTGTATCAGAGAGGCAATTTAATTTTCTTTCCCTGGTGGCTAATCAGGTTGTCAATGTGCATAACATGAAAGGAGCAGTCAGATCTCCTGAGTGGAGAGAAAGAGGGAAGCAAAGACAAACGAGTATTTTGGTTGAAGTTCACAAAGGTGTACCACTTGGTGTTCTTTGGCTGGGACTTCAATTTTCAAGATATAAATACAATAAACAGTGAAAGGAAATGAAACATGAGGTTGCAGTTTTCTCATTCAACAGAATTTTTTAGATTCATAGAGTCAGAAAGTGGCTTATTTGGAAGGCATCTTGAAGATCATCTACTTCCAACACCCCTGCCATGGGCAGGAACACCTTCCATTACACCAGGTTGCTCAAAGTCCCATCCAGCCTGGCCTTGAACACTTCAGGGATGGGACATCTTCAGTTTCTCTGGAAACCTGCTCCAGTGCCTCACCATCTCCACAGTAAAGAATTTCTTCCTAATTTCTACTCCAAACCTCCTCTTCTTGAGTTTAAATCTGTTCTCCCTTGAACTATCACTACATTCTCTTCAACTCTCTAGTAGCCCCTTTAGGGTCTGGAAGGTCGCCCCTGAGTTTTCTCTTCTCCAGGCTGAACAACCCCAACTCCCAAAGCCTGTCATCATAGAAGAGGTGCTCCAGCCCTTTGAGCATCTTCTTGGCGCACCTGATAATCACAGAGCAAAGCAGACCTCTTGGCATTTTCTGCTGTGAGTCTGAGTACATTTCTCTCCCTGTTCTTAGTGAAAGAGAAAAATAAGATTCAGAAAGATTTTTGTGAGTCCCCGAGGTAGGCACTGCCCTCTGCTGAAATGCACTAGAAGTACTTGCTTGTTTCCACCATAAGCAAAATGTAGGAAATGTGATGAAAAACCATCTCTGTTGCCTTTCAAAGGGCAATTGGACAGGGTTCTACATAATCTCTCTTGAAGACTGTTTTATATGAATCTATGATTAGTTCAAATGTAATTTTGTATGAAATCAATCCTATTTCGAGGATTAATAAACTGATTATTTCCATTAACTAGAAAATGCAGGAGAGGATGTTTAGTTATACAAAAATGGAAAATTAGGTGTTGCATGTTGTTTTTTTCTTACTATATCTTATCTTCATGTATTTCATAGTTTTAATATGTTTGACACAGTTTTAGTATTCCACACAAATGTTAATCTCTTTGGAATTTTGCCCAGTGATCCAGGAAAGTACTTGGAAACATTTTTTTCTTTTTATTTATGCATATTCTCACCAAAGGACATTGCTAAATAAACAATATCCATTAAAACAGAGAATCTAGCCATTAAAACAGAGAATCTATTCAGTAGGAATAATTTCAGATTTTCAGAATTTGAACACATTTTAGTCAATAGTAATTTCTTTTGTAAATATTTAGTACTTCAGATGTCTACTGTAATGCTATTTAATGTGTCATTGGCATGTCTGCCTGGCAGTGATGAACATGTTCTTAGGCTGATTAATTGAGATACAGGGATTGAACCTGAAAATTGTTTATCTTCATTGAGATACTGAGATTTTATTTTCATTTGTGAATTAGCTATTTTGGAATTGAAATTCTCTGCATGTTCTTCTGGAATTCAGTTCCAAATGGTGGAGCACAGATTATGAATTTTATCCATATAATGTAAGAAAAAAAGAGATCAAGTAGAAAAACAGAGGAGAATACATAACTAGAATAGGCACTTAATGGTTAACTACTCAAAAAATACATCAAAACTAATAAAATAATAAAAAACATAGAGTTAGAGTGATGGATTATTAAAATTATTATGAAATAATTATATATATATATTATAATTATATAGAAGTAATTATGAACTAGCTTTTCAGATAGATTCTTGAGAAGTAGCAAAAATAATTTTTTATTTACAAATTTTACTGTGTAATAATGTCTTATTAATATGACTATATTAATAAGTAGATTTTATTGATTTATTGCAATAATTAATCTTCAAACAAATTAAGATATGTATTTACAATGTGAAAATTGCAGTTTTATGCTCTGTTGATTAAACCACATGTTAATATTGGAATATGTAATTCATTAATATTTGAGGCAACAGCTTTATGACATTTAGAGAAATAAAAAATAAATTTTTTATTTGATATACACAGAAGGTTTAAAAACTTAAGATTACTGCTAGAAATAGTCAGCAAAACAGATCAAAGTTCAAGGAAATTTTTTAGCTAGATTGCCCAGGTAGTTGCTACACTAACGTATATAGATGCCCTTACTGACTTACATATATTTCTGATCCTAGACTGCCTATTAGCTTCAAATTACTCCTTGAACTTCTGAAGTTTTTCCTGTGGGCTGCTTTTTGGTTTGAATATGATTTTTCACCCAACAGAAAAGATGTTAGTAAGTAAAAAATGAAGAGTGTAATTTAAGTACAACAAGTATAAAATGGATATTAAATGAAGGAAAAAGGACTATTTTTCTGTGTAGACAAAGTGTGTATGTTTCATTTCTTGAAAGTCTATCTTAATGGTAATATTGAAACTTCACAGTACTTTTAGCAATGCTCTGCATGATTTACTTGAATAGTTCATCCTTTGTCCTGCAATTTTTTTGTTTTCTCAGCATGAAAGAAATACTCTATTAATATTAGAAGGGTAATTCAAACCAGATCCAGAAGAACCAGAAACTGAGTTTTTTTCACCTCATGTGAAGATTGTGTGATTCCTCTGTATGTCATGAAACCGTTTGATTTCTTTCTTCAACTTCATGGCTCTCACATTTTCTCAGTAATTTCCAGGGTTTGCTTTTAGATTGCGTAGATTGCTTTTGGTTTTTC